GTCGCATGGCCGGGGCACTCTACTGGCTCTAGCCGGTCCATGGGAGGCGCCACTTACGTGCTAAGGGGGGACGGCCATAATGCAAGGCGACTATGCGCCGATGAGGTGACTTGGCACCGATGTGAGGGGTCTCCTGTATGCCGATGATGATGGGCACCTGTGTGCCATGTTGAGAGGCAACCGGTTGGGCCGAAACACACCCGTGCAGTAGAGGCAGCGGGATAGCTCAATCAGCTTGGGCATGGGGTTGGCGAGGTAAAGGGTCATGCTTGAGCCAGGCCCGCATGCCAAGCCTCCCTTGAGTGTCAGTTGCGCAGTGCCGATCCATGCACTATCCCCATGAGCATGTGTGCACCCATGAGGAACCCTGGTAGCCATGCTAGCCATTAAACAGGGCCGCCTAGCAAGGGATGATGGTCTAGGAGTGCCAAGGTTAGGCACCCAAGGAGGTCAACCACCCCTCCTCAAAGAGTACATTAAGCTTTTAGAGGTCTGCCTAAAGATGACATCAGTCTTTTAGAGGTCTGCTAAGACTGTGTCAGACCGTGACACAGAGCCATGTGGAACCTACACCATCAAAAGATGTGGCGAGGTGCCACATAGGATTAACAAGACACCGCCCGCCAAGTGGTGATGTCATTAAATGCCACGTCAATTAAAATAAAGTGCACGAGAGGTAGTAGCACACATGAGTAATGAGGGAACTTGAGGAGAAGGAAAGCAATCCTTGGGAAAATCCTCATGAGACATGTGGCAAAACCTAGTGGCGCAGTTAATGACTGACAACAAGTCCAATATTCCCTTTCCCGATATGTCACAAGTACCTTTATCCCCTACTTTTTAGGATCCCAGGATCTCCATAAATAGATATCATCCTCGTATTGAAAATCGTTTGATACTCAACATTCGGCACTCGATACCCAACACTTAGTACTCAAGCATACCTCACTCCTGGATTTCTTACCCCTAGCACTTAGCCAAAGAGTCAATGTCCCTACCCGTCGGCCTCTCTCTGTCTTTCAAAGAGACCGATCCCATCCAAGCCTTACCCAACCTACAATAGAATCTCTAGTTCGTCTATGATCACAGAGAATGGCCTCATGAAGGATCAACCTTACTCCCATCCTTGAGGAGCAGAACAATGCCCTAGAGAACACCAATCTGAGAGTAGAGAACCAGCCAGAGATGGAAATGCCTATCCAGGCCGACATCGAGATACTTCTGAACAAAGTTTATGGGTTTGAGGCACTTTTCGAGAACATTTTTAGAAGGTTAGTAGAAATGCAGGAAGAAACAAGAAGTACCCTCCAGATTCTACTCAACCGTTCAGCCCAAGCTGAACAAACCCCTGCCGCCATTCTTCCTGGCGTCCCCAACTCCAATCCCAACCCTAGTCGCCACGCCTCCAACCAAACTCCCGCCATTTCCGTATTAAACAGTGTATGCCCTCAGTTCCAATCAGCTTCATGTACATTATGGCATATATTATAAATGAATAAAAGTACATATTTGATTCATGTTATATGGTGTGTTTTTGTGTAATACCCTTAAACTGGACACTTATGAGACTCGTGTTAGTTTAGAATATGCATAGCCGTTGGATAGACTTGGGGAGGTTTATCCTGCCAAGGCTGACACTAATGTGTTTGCAAGTCGGTTGGAGTGCTTGTCTTAGCTGTCAGGGTGAGACCTGAAGCACATGTAGTGTGGGTTTGCTTGAAACCCTGAATCAGACCATTTTCCGGTTATACCTTGGACCTTGGAGACAGATAGGAAAAATCGAAAACTTTCAGTTGACCCCTAGACTCGATTATGGTACTGCACTAGGTGTTGATTTAACTTAATTAATTAGAGTTTTACAGTTGATTTAAAGTGATTGGATCAATTATGTGAATGTTTCATGCATGTTATGTGTGATGTGTGATGTGCTACATACATGGGCCATAAGCACTTGTCCCATATTCATTCGTTACTGGCTTTTTATGCACACCATGGATGAATGCACATCGTTGCCATGGTGCCCTAAAGATCATTGGATGATCTCCCCTTTCAATGGGCCCCAGATCAGCTTCCTCCCCAAGAGGAATCGTGAGGAACCCTAGCTATTTTGGGCCCATTTGAATTGGACTTTAAGAAAGTTAGTGGGATCTACTTTGGTTTAACCTAAATAAAATATAGGGTCGGCTCGTTCCCTCCAGATTTATGTAAGTGCATGTTGTTAGACAGTTTTGTATGCCCTTAGCTTCAATCAAGAATGATGTACTTTATGAATTTATTGTAAATGAATAAAAGTACATATTTGATTCATGTTCCCTTGGTATGTTTATGTGTAATACCCTTAAACTGGACACTTAATGAGACTCGTGTTAGTTTAGAATGTTCACAGCCAGTGAGTCGGTCTAGGGAGACCTATCCTAATAAGGGTGACACTGATGTGCCACCAAATCGATTGGGGTGGCCTGTCTCAGCCACTAGGGTGAGACCCTAGGCACATGCAGTGTAGGATCAATTGAATCTTTGAACCAGACTAGATTTCTAGTGTCTAAAGATGAGGGCTATATCAATGATCTAGAGGCTCTTGGTTTAGGGCTTAATGATGACACTAAAATTGATGCTATTTTTAACTCTTTGCCACCCTACTTTAATCAGTTTATCATGAATTGCAATATTATTAAGCTAAAAATTAACCTTCAGGAGCTCAACAATATGTTGTAGACGGCTGAAGAACTAATTAAGAAGGATAGGCCGATTACCATGCTTGTTGAAGGTGGCAAATTAGGCAAGAAGAAGATGAAGGCAAAGAAGAAGATTTAGAAAAAAGTTGGCAAGACCAAAAAGCAGAAGAAGGATAAGACATTAGATGCATGTCACTTCTGCAAACAGATTGACCACTAGAAGAGGAATTATCCTCAATATATAGAGACCAAGAAATAAGGTAATTTTGTATCCTTATTAATAGAAACCAATCTGTTAGACACTTCTGCGTTTTGGTGTATTGACTATGTGGCTTCTACTTATGCATGTAACACATTACAGGGGTTCAAGACAAGGAAAAAGTTGAGTGATGGAGAAGTAACTCTTTATTTGGGGACTTTTGCAACTGTTGTAGCTACAACCATAAGAACTGTAGAATTGTTTTTAAGAAAATGAGTTATTTTACTTAAATACTGTCTTTATGTGTCGAATTTAAGAAGAAATTTGATTTTTGTTTCAAAATTGTGCTTGGATGGTTAATCTATTTTGTTCAATAATGTGATCACTATTAAACGGAATAACAAAGTCCTACTTACGAAAAATTTGAGAATGGTCTCTATGTTCTCCATCATTCTCTAGAAACCAACTTAACTGAAACTATATCGGAAATAAGTCTCAAGAAAAGAACACGTGAAACAGTTAATCCCACATGCCTGTGGCATTACTGACTTGGCCACATTAACATAGATCGTATCAAAAGGTTGGTAAAGGAAAGTCCTTCTCTAGAAACCAACTTAACTGAAACTACATCAAAAATAAGTCTCAAGAAAAGAACACGTGAAATAGTTAATCCCACATGCCTGTGGCATTACTGACTTGGCCACATTAACATAGATCGTATCAAAAGGTTGGTAAAGGAAAGTCCTTTAGATTTTTTCACTATAGAAGATTTTTCAACCTGTGAACCTTGCCTTCAGGGTAAGATGATGAAACAACCATTTACGGGAAAGCCTGAAAGATCTACAGGCACACTTGACCTAATACATACTAATGTATGTGGTCCCCTAAATGTTAGGATACTTAACCATCACGCTTATTTTATAACATTTACCGATGATTATTCACGGTATGGTTACGTATAAACCTAATGAGACATAAGTCTGAATCTTTTGAAATGTTTAAAGAGTTCAGACAAGAGGTCAAGAAACAGTTGGGGAGACAGATTAAAGCCCTTCAATCAGATTGAGGAGGTGAATATCTCTCCGACGAATTCAGGGACTACTTAAAGAACAATGAGATTGTTTCACAGTTAGCTCCTCCTGCTACGGCACAATTAAATGGTGTGTCAGAGAGGAGGAACTGAACTTTATTGGATATGGTTCGACCACTTCTTGTACACTTGGAACTACCTACATTCTTTTTGGGGTATGCATTAGAGATTGACATATACGTACTGAACTGGGTTCCAACCAAATCCGTTCCTAAGACTCCATATGAGCTATGGATCGGTAAGAAACCAAGTGTAAGACACTTAAAGATTTGAGTTTGTCCAGCACATGTTAAAAAGACTATTGTAGACAAATTGGAATCCAAGACCAGCCGTTGCCTTTTTGTAGGCTACCTCAAAAGCTTTATAGGATATTTATTCTTTGACCCAAAAGAGTGAAATGTGTTTTGTAGTCAAAATGCCAATTTCTTGGAAAAATATTACATTCTGAACAATCATCATCAAGAAATTGTTTTTGATGAAGAGAGCTCAGGGGTAATGGGAGATGTCCCACAGGCTCCAAAAAACAGCCAACCTAGAAGGTCTACCTAGGTATCTTGGCCTCTAGTTTGTTACGATTATGATCAAGAAAGTTACTTGATGGAAGCCATGAACAGTGAGTAAGATCCCATGACTTATCGGAAGCTATGTTAGACATAGATTCCTTGAAGTGGGTAGATGCCGTGAGAGCTGAGATGGACTTAATGGAAACCAATAGAGTTTGAACTCTCGTATATCGGCCCCTGGGGTAAAAGCAATTGGTTGCAAATGGATATATAAGAAGAAGAAGGGCCCCGATGGCAAGATTGAGACCTACAAGACTCATATTGTAGCGAAATATTACACTCAAAAAGAAAGAATTGATTATGAGGAAACATTTTTAATACAGAAAAATCAACAAATAGCGGCAATTTCAAAAGGGGATGAACAACAACCGCCGCTAAAAATAATACTCTGTAGCGGCAGTCATTTAAAATTGTCGCTATACACATTAAAATTGTCGCATGATGCGAATGAAAACTATTTCCCTCCTCTTCCTTTTCTCACTCTCTTCCCGCCTTTTTATCTCCTACACTTACTTTGTGGCATTCAAAACTCTCACCCAGACGACTCCCATTCACGCCTTTCGAAGACATGAAATGAAAATGGAGATTAGAGCAAAGCACACCACAAGCTAGGGTTTTTTTTGGGAAACCACCTGCGATTGACACTTGGGATTTGTCTTTTTGAGAGGAACTATTAACCTAGATCTCAAAAGAGTAAAGTGGAGCAGAGCGGAAGCTCCATTCCTTTTGATTTCGAAGAAAAATAGTGGCATCATCTCCACTAGATCTCAAAAGAATTCCATTTTTGCTATTGAGGCACTATTAATCTCTCCCTCAAATCATCCATATTGCTAATTTGTGGTATGCTTATCTCATCTTGGAAAAAAATTATTATTTTTAATTGATTCCATCTATGCATTTACCATGAGTCATATCTTTCATTTTTTTTCATCCTTGTTAATCAAATAAAATTTCGTGAGATTAAACAAGTAGTAGTTAAATTGGAAGGCTAACCCTTGGAGAAGCAACATGAGCTGATTTAAAGTGTTGGCATGAAATCGCTGTTATATATAAGGTACATTTGAGAAAAAGTGTTGGTCTTTATACGTATTTGAACATCTATGATGTGTACGAGGTTAAACCACGGCTGGAGTAGCCAGACAAGGATGCATATGGGGGATGGATGCCAGGGCCCAAGGCTCTTTTCTAACTTTCTTAATTTCTGTTTTTTGTTAATTTGTTTGGCTATTTACAGCACACACCTGAATTTCTTTTCTTCTAACTAAAAAGAAAAATTCATGATTCCTAAACCCTAGCGAATGGCCCATCTAGTGGTCCATGTGCAGCTGGTAGTTCTGAATCCTCCAATTAATTCTTCTTCTCAATGATATAGGTCGACTCTCCAGTATTACAGAACACATACATGAGGTTTAATGACATTGCAATTATTTCTTATCTTTATATCAGGATTTTGGAATCAAATACAACATGGAAAATGGCGGGTCAGCTCCGGAAGCTATAACGAACCAGATTTATGAGAACACAAAAACAATAAAGGAATGCTTCATTGTAGAAGACCTTCCAGATGTATTCCTATAAGCTTGACATCAAGTCTACCCTTTGAGTATCATAACTGTGTTTTCTTTGATCATGTTATTATTATTACCATTTTCAATACTTTGTTTAGGTGGATAATTCTACCATAGGTGTGACAAGCTTTGGGGGGCCTGAAGGAGAATTTGACATTGATGTTTTCGATTCAACTAGTGATTATGTGAAACTGATGAAGTAAGCAATCTTTTCTTTTTCTTTTTTTTTTTTCAATTTTTTCAAGGAATGAACAAAGTTCTAAATTTCTATTAATTTCATGCTTCATTGTTCTGAACTTGATTAAACATGGTAGTGATATATGGTCATATAATGATCACTGCCAAATCCTATGTCATTATTTTATACATTGATGTTGATGCAGCTGAACCTTTTCCTCTCATTGTAAAAGATTACATTGCATCTTGTATCCATGGATCAATCCTCCAGGTTAAGGGAGTTGTAGCTGCTGGAACTTTTACATAATTTATATGCTCAATCATATATGAGTGTAATGATATTTACACATACTTACGAGTTTAATCATATTTACACATTTATAAGCATGCAGCAAAATGAAAAGAATTTGCAGTCTAGTATGCCACTCTAATGCATGAGGCTGAAGTGATTTCCCTTCTGACAAGCCGGCATAGGAACTGATAGACAGCAGGACTTAGCCTCCTTATCCGTTGAAGGGAATTTTGTCAATTCAATTAGATGGAGTAAAGTGATCTAAGATTATTCTTTTGTTGGAGAAAATGGCTGATAACATGTGAAGGTTTACCCTGTATGAAATATTCTAGGATATGCTGAGTTTTGTATTTGCTTGAAGTGAGATCCAGTTAATTTCTGATTGGACAAGATATGTTTCGACTTTTATCTCATGGCTAGAAGTATTGTATAAATATGATTCTTAGGGTCCGTTTGGTTCTGACTTCTAACTTTTAAGCTAGCAATATAGTGTTGTTTTGTTCTCTTTAAAACATGGGATGCGAGACAACAAGAGTAGCTATTATTAATCCATTCCCTGTATAGTGATTGCTTGGGCTATAACTGTATGAATGCAATTCCTTTCTTGTCTTCATGTTGTTCATGCATAAGAGAAGAGGTGAGAAACATATTCATGCCCATAAGATGTGAATGATGCAACTTTTCTTTTCTTGTATTTTTTATCAACTAGATGATAATTTATTGAAAACGATTAGCAAGAAGAGGCAAAATTATGGTAATTTGCCTTTCCTCCCATCACTGCATAGCAGAGACGATGGATAGGCCTTAAAATGCACCAAAACAATAGAACCAAATTTCTTTGCTTCTATGAATCTAAGTAATGAGCAAATCTATTATAGTAATTAAATAGTTATAAGGCTCCCAAAGACAGTGGTTTTGGTAATTATGTTTGAAAGGCATAGATAAATTACACATTTACGCCTTCTTTTGAGCTTTGACCAAATGGAGACCTAGGGTTCAGGTTCCCTTGAAAATGGATAGCATAGAAGTACCACATAATGGATCACTTAAATGTTAATCTCATGATACAATCTGTTTATCAGATATGTCATTCACTTCAGCCAGTATTCCACCATTTTCAACAGGCGTCTCCTCCATCCTTCTTTACTTCTTCATTCTCTTGACATATGATTAACYGACTCCCTTTTCTTTTTGCAGCAATAAAAATTAAAAGGGGGATTATCCCTGTGTATCATTTTTATTCGACTTGAATGCTTGTAGGTACATTATGGTTTTTTTCCATGAAGCATTATGATTCATTTCCATCATTCCTGCTAGGAGATGGAACTGTTGCAGTTTGAAACTATTATGGCCATGAAAACATGTTATGGTTCTTTCCCATGAAAACAGTTTGTTTCTTTTACATGAAAACATTTCGAAAGTCCCTGAACCATATGTGTACTCACAGCCATGAATTTGCTTTTGAATACTCAATTTCATTATCCTTTTACTTTGTTCACATAAACCCTGCTACCTATTTTGTTCCATGTAGGGCCATATAATTGAAACCTTTTCCCTGTTTCATAATTTCCTGCATTTTTATCTCATTATTTACATGGCTGTATGTTTAATTACTAAGCTGGTGCATGTGCAAAAGGAGTAAAAAAGCATATGTTTAATTAAAGATGGTGTGCAAAAGGAGCAGCAAACTTAATAGGCTCTGTGACAGAAATATCCACTATCACTTCGTTGCTGAGAAAGTAGTCTGTAGTTTAAGTGCTGTGTGCAGCAGGTAAGTGCATATCCACTAATTTGTGATTCTTGCATGGTAACGATGGTGTTGCATGTTTTGATGTTTCAGTTGGGTGGGCCATCATGGACAGTACAGCTGGGCAGAAGAGATGCGACCACGGCAAGTCTAAGTGCTGCCAATAGCGACATCCCTGCTCCAACCTTGGATCTTGGTGGCCTTATATCTGCTTTCTCAAAAAAGGGTCTTACTGCCAAGGAAATGGTCGCTCTTTCAGGTGAGTAAAACCAGTACAAATGCCAAGAGCATATGGATTCTTGTCTCATCTGCCCTTCTGAATTAATTCAAGTGGTTGTCAAAAGCGCTGTTTCCATTAGCTGAGTACTACGCACAATCCATGAATGAATCCATCTGATCATTAATTCTCCTTAATTAATTATCATCTTCTTCTGTTTTAATGTGTGTATATATATACATAGGAGCTCACACCATCGGGCAAGCTAGGTGCACAAGTTTCAGGCTCGCATCTACAGCAAGACTAATATAAATTCTTCCTTGGCGACATCATTGAAGTCCAACTGTCCGAGTACTGGTGGAGACAACAATCTCTCTCCCTTTGACGCTAAAAGCCCTACAGCTTTTGATAATGCTTATTTCAAGAGTTTGGTGAACAACAATGGACTTTTACACTCGGATCAGTGGAATTCCATTATTTTTGTTGTATCGATTCTTTAGTGGACATGCATGGCATTGTATATTTCTGCTGTTCTTGAACTTATGGCTACCTCGCTAGGTAACATTGTTCTCTAATGTTTTGTTTCAATTCAATGAAGACAAACGCAAGGCAGGAAAGGACGACATGATGCAGCAACCACCCGCCAAGAAAGTGGCAACAGATGGACCAATGGGCATTGTACCTCCTAACTCCTTGCCGGCAAACATGCAAGGGACCGTTGATGGATTTCCAAATGCTTCAGGGCCATCCAATTTGGGCCCATCATCATCTGGACAAGTCACAAACGATAGCATTTCAAGGAGCAGCGGTAAGAGGGAGGATGATGGTCGAGCAACCAAGATGTCAACTATCCTCAGTCAGGCTTGGAAGGAGGATGTGGATGTTGGACATCTGCTGGCTTCTCTTTTTGAGCTATTTGGCGGGAACATGTTCTCCTTCACTCCTAGACCTGAGATGTCTTTCTTCTTGTGATCAAATAAATATGGGTTGGATTTTTGTAAATGATCAGTTAAATATGCTCTTACTTGTAATTCACAAATACGTGAGAAGGTAAATTCAATAGTTTACCATGAGAATAAAGAAGTCCAAGGCTGTCGCTAAAACAACCTTTTTGCGGCAGCCAGGTGAGCATTAGCGGCAATCGTGATTGCCGCTAAAAACAACTTTTAGCGGCAGTTTAGGATTTATACCGGCAACCGCGAAAACTACCGCTAGAACATCTAGCGACAGTTCTTTTAGCGGTAGTTTGCCAGCTGCCGGTAAAGACTGCCGCTAAAAGTCATTTTTCTTGTAGTGTTTCGCCCGTGGCCATGCTTAAATCTATAAGGATCCTACTAACTGTAGCAGCAAACTATGACTACAAGATTTAGCAAATGGATGTCAAAATTGCGTTCTTAAATGGAGATTTTACTGAAGATATCTATATGCAACAACCGCAAGGTTTCATTGCTGTGGATCAGGAACACATGGTGTGTAAACTCAATCGATCCATATATGGACTCAAGAAAGGTTTTAGGAGCTAGAACATCCGGTTTGACTCTACTGTCAAACAATTTGACTTTGAGCAGAATCCGGATGAGTCCTGTGTTTATAGGAAGATAATGGGAGATAATGTTACATTCTTAGTTCTGTATGTAGATGAAATTCCACCAATCCTTGCCTTCCCCTACACTGACCCGATAGCAAAGGCCCCTCTTAACCAAGACAAGCTGAGGGAGTATGTCTAGGGGCTGATGGTTGAAATCCATAGTTAGGCTTAGGACTCGGTCATCCTACAAAAACCTTATTCTGACCGTATCTTGTGCAAACCCTACCCTGTCGGGTACACCCCTCCTCAGCAATGGCCACAATACGACGGACAGAGAGGCAGCCCGTAGGAGTACATCAGCAAGTTCGAGGATACCCTCAGTTCCTTCACTCTCGACGGGGACCTCAAAGTACACGAGTTCTCGAAGTCATTGACCGACTCGGCATACACATGGTTCGTGAGTCTCACCCCTAGGAGAATCGATTCATGGGGTGAACTAGCCAAGAAGTTCTTATCGTAGTGGTTCACCTTGGAGAGAATACTAATAATGGCTGACCTACGAAACGTAGAGCAAGGACCAAGGGAGGATCTTCTGGCCTACATTATGAGGTCCCAAAAACTTAGACACTCCGTCTTCGATAGGCATGCTACTGAGAGAAGTTTCAACGAGTAGTGCATACAAGGCATGCGCCCTACCTACAGGATCAACATAAAAAACATTGAAGTTGAGACCTTTAGCTAGCTCTGGAGGTGCGCGGAGAGGACGGAGCGAACCGTCAAGGACACCTCTCCATACAATATAAATGAGGCGTACACAGTTGACAGGAAGCTCAGAAACAACGAAGGAGTTAGACAGGGGCCATACCAGCGTGACAATGCCCTAAGAAGAAGGAATGTCCCTCCCCCTTCCCGTGCACAAGGGAGGAGGTTATAATGATATTAAACAAGTTTGTTGAAGATAGGGCCATCAACCTGCCGCCACCACTATGGACCCAGAGAAAGACAAGCGCGGCGGGAGGTGGTGCAACTTCCATAAGATGCCACATCATGACTTGATGGATTGCTTCACCCTGAGAAGTCTATTTGTATAGAAGGTAAAGCTGGACCAGTTTGTCAAAAAGGATCCAACACGTGTAGAAAATGACCCCCTCTAAGCCCATACCCAGGAAGGAAGTATCAGTGTAGTTGGAGCAGCCAGTCAGTACCAATTTGATGCTATAATAGAAAACCTAGAGCAAAACCCAGAGCTACAACAATTTTTCATCAAGCAAGGGGCCAACACAACAACGCTGAAATTGGTCATTAGAGCACTGGTAGAAGTCTTTAGGCACCCGCTACAGCCTTACAGGTGTGACCTCAATAGTGTGGAATTCACAGTGGAAGACATGTTGGCCGTTGACCCCCTCCACAACAGACCCCTATACATCATGGCGAAAATAGGGGTTTCGAAATGAGAAGATCGATGGTTGACCCAGGAATCTCCGTCATTCCATCCACACATTGGAATTTATGAACGCCCAGAAAGAGGACATCAAAGGATTGCCACTGGAAGTAACATGCTTCAACGGGAACACATCCATCGTGGAGGGATCCATTGAGTTGCAGGTAGCAATAGACCCGTTCAGCATCACACAGGAGTTCCAGGTAATCCTAGGGAGGACTTCTTACCACGCTCTCTTGGGATGCCCACTTATACATGGCTTGGCCTTCGTCTCATCAACAAATCACCAGTGCATCAAAGCCAGATACCGGGGATGATCAATCAGGATTCTAGCCACCAGGGCCCTCTTTGACAAGTCAGAGATGCACTTACAGGATGCCATCTACTTCACAAAGTTGGCGGACGACGAGGAGAGGAGGATAGCCAAGGTCGAGGGGACAAAGCTGCCTCATCCTACAGAAAGCAAGCCTACGGAGACCGCCGATCGGAAGAAAAGAAGTAGATATGTCCAAGTGACGGGGAGTGATGGGAAAGACTACTACACCATCGTCGAGGACCACAGGGACGATGAACCACTCGCAACCAAGAAGGCTATTCCCGCGGTATGATTCTATAAATTATGGTATATCTTGTTCGCTAAACGTAGTCTTATCGCAACTTGTACCAATGGTAAAAGTCTTTTTCAAAAAAGTTCATCCTTAATGTATGAGCCATTATTGATGTGTTGACGAATCAACTACATATTTATTTGCCAAAAACCACTATAATCATCTAATGAAAGACTTTAAATAATGTTTCAACCAGTACCATTTCAATGCATCGCAAATCGATATTGCTGCGATAATACCATTGAACGATAATTTGGCCATTGAGAATTACACAAAGGTACAACATTTAGCCACAATCTTATCAAACACAAAACCCCCAAATTTGAGACAAATAATAATGTGGGCAACAACAAGAGTTGAAGGAGGATGTTCTGGAATACTATGATGAAGTCAGAGTGCTTCCTAGGTGCATGACGGCCTCCGTTGACACAGTAGAAGAATCATTAGAAGAGATCAACTTAGCGGCTAACGGAACAGAAAAAAGACCGTTATACATATCCACCAAACTAGCTGCCAAAGAGAAAGAAAGGCTTATCGCACTTCTAAAAGAGCTGCAAGATGTGTTTGCCTGGTCATACAACCAGATGTTGGGATTAGATCTCGACCTCGTCAGACACTCCTTATGCATAGATCCCAAATTCCGGCTGGTAAAGCAACTGTAGAGGATTTTCAAGCCGGAAATAACCCTAAAGATCAAAGAGGAAGTAGAGCGGCTCCTGAAGGTGGGTTTTATCAAACCTATAGCACACCCTCCGTGGCTAGCCAATATAGTCCCAATAAAGAAGAAGAATAGATGGGTCAGGTTAGTATTCCCTTACCTAGTCCTTTAGCAATAGCACATCACCCAAATACTAACCACACCCTATTGCAGATGCTGTGTTGACTTTAGGGACCTAAACAAGGCTTGCCCAAAAGATGAGTTCCCTCTACCCAATATGGAGGTATTGATAGACTCGACTGTAGGACATGAGCCCTTCTCCTTCCTAGACGCCTACAGTGGGTACAACCATATATTTATGGATCCTATAGACGCACTCCACACAACCTTTAGGACACCGATAGGGAATTTCTACTACAAGATGATGCCCTTTGGTCTGAAAAATGCGGGGGCAACATACTAGAGAGCGATGACTAGCGTCTTCCGCGGCATGATACATAAAGAAATCGAATGCTATGTGGATGACATAGTTGTCAAAGCAAAGAAGAAAGAGGATCATTCTGAAGTATTAAGGAAACTCTTCACCCAATGCATGAAATTCAAGCTAAGGTTAAACCCACTAAAATGCACATTTGGGGTGCAGTCAAGCAAGTTCTTAGGCTACAGAGTACACTAAACAGGGATACACCTGGATGAGAGCAAGGTCAAAGCCATCTTAGATCTCCAACCTCAATCCAATGAGTCCCAATTAAAAACTTTCTTAGGATAGATTTCATACCTAAGGAGGTTCATCCCTAGCCTCACGCATGCAGCATTGCCACTTATGAAGTTAGTCAAGAAGACCATCGAATTTAAATGGACCCAGGAGCATCAACAGACATTTGAGCAACTGAAAGCAACCCTCACTAGGGCCCCAACAATGTTACCGCCCAAGGTTACAAAGCTATAAAGCAGGAAAAATCCCTAGACCCAATGCACACAAGTGAACTCATTACAAAACCCGAGGATGAGAGGACAAGGTGCTTATCAATAAGCCTCCACTTACTGATAAGCAGAGGGGATAATGTATGTACACAGTGTTCACTCAGACCCTTAGAGAACACCAAATACCGAAACTAACACCACATGGTTGCATGCGAGCAACCCGTAGACAACCTTCCTTCTGTGATGAACCCGCAAAGCACCACAAGCTCTGCGGTGAACTCACAACGCGTATCACAAAATCGCGATAAACCCAAGGTTCATCGAGCCCACTCGGTGCCCAAACCAAAGGAAATCACAGCCAAACCCAGGATAGGGCCCTACACCTGTTAGAACGTGTGATAAATTGATGATTTGCTAAATGCGCAATGAACCCACGGCTTACGAGTTCACTCATGACCCAAATTGAGAGAAGCTCAGGCCGAACCCATGGCGAGGCCCACGCATGCCCAGAGCTATGTGGAACCTACACCATCAAAAGACATGGCAAGATGCCACGTAGGATTAACAAGACATTGCCTGCCAAGCGGTGATGTCATTAAACACAACGTCAATTAAAATAAAGTGCACGAGAGGTAGTAGCACACATGAGTAATGAGGGATCTTGAGGAGAAGGAAAGCTGATCCTCGGGAAAATCCTCATGAGACATGTGGAGAAACCCCAGGGACGCACTTAATGATTGACAACAAATCCAATATTCCCTTTCTTGATATGTTACAGGTACCTTTATCCCCTACCTTTTAGGATCTCAAGATCTCTCCCATGAATAGAGATCCTCCTCGTATTTAAATTCATTC